AATGATAAATATTATCTACAAACCTGCGATACTGCCATGGTCACCAGGTTTGCGCCAAGTTATGCAAACATTTTTGTTGCAAACTGGGAAACCAAGAAGATCTGGAATGATAACCCTTTCGGCGCAAACCTGGTGCTATGGAAACGCTATATAGATGATGTTTTGATCATTTGGAAAGGTCCGAGGTCTGTTTTAGAGGATTTTTTATTATACATTAATTCCAACACCTACAATTTAGTCTTTTCTGCAGAGATTCATCCATTTGAAATTAACTTTTTAGATTTAACATTTTTTGTAAAAAATGGACGAGTACACAATAAGACCTTTTTTAAACCCACAGATGGCAACAGTTTTATTAAGTTTTCCAGTTGTCATCACCCAAACCATCTTAAAAATATCCCCAAATGACAACAAATGAGACTGTATAGAAATTGTACTGAGAGAGACGATTTTAGGAATCAGGTAGAGACTTTAAATAGAAGATTTAATAATAGGCATTATCCTATGGACCTTATTGAAAAATCTCAGAAACAAGTAGAAATCTGCAATAGAAAATACCTTTTTTTTTTTAAGAGAAAAGAGGGGAAACTAGGGAATAAAGATTTTAATACAGCTTTTATAACGAAATATAACAATAAGGCCCACTATATAGAGAAGATAATTAAGAAATATTGGCCAATTTTAAATCAAGATGAATTTTTAAAAAATGTTTTACCTAATAAACCTCGGATAATTTATAAGAAAACTGATAGTTTAAAATCTATTTTAGCTCCCAGTGTTTTACCTGAACTAAAGAATAAAAAAGATCCGCAAAATTTTGCTGATTGTTTTTTTAACAGAAAAACCAAAAGGTTTTTTAAAGTGCGACAGGTGTAGAACTTGTAAATATCAATCATATAAAACATTAGATTTTAAAAGTAATATTACGGGGGAGTCTTTTAAAATAAAACATTTTATAAATTGTCAAACTAAATATGTAGTTCATCTGTTACAGTGTAAATGCGGCATGCAATATATAGGACGCACTATAAGGAAATTACATACACCGTTATTACATACACCGTAGAAAAGCATAAAACACAGTGTACCAAGACACTGTAACAGCTGTAAAGAATTTAAATTTGAAAATTTCAGTTGCATTGGTATTGATCTGGTTAGCCCCCACTGGAGAGGGGGCGACATTGAAAAACGCTTGGCTATGAAAGAGACGGAATGGATTTATAAATTAAAATCTTCCATCCCGGATGGTCTCAATACAGATTTAGATATCTTAGTAGTCATGGACTAATTCCACTAATATATAGCTGTGTAATATAAGCCCTTTATAATGCCCACGTTTGCTAATTCTTTTTGTATTTTTTATGCACATCTTTGCACATGTTTATGATGTATTGTGACTTTGACATTTTTTATTTATTTGAGTTGAATATATGCTGCTAATGTCCTTTTCTCTTTTTTCCCTTTAAATATGTCCTTGAGAATGTTTTATACTTTTAAAATATTTTTCAGTTGTTTATATTTATATGCACATTGTTTTTAGCCATTTTTGTGACTATATAAATCTGCCAAAAGGTCTCTTTGATACATGTCCTCTGCTATGTTATTTTAAGAACTATTCTGTTGTCACTAGAAGAAGGTGTTATTTTAATATACTTAATGTATTTTATATTATTAATAATATTTTCAATATGTTCATCCATCTTTGTCTATGACTGTTTTGATAATATATCTTTAGGCTATTCCTTGATTGCTGTTTCTTTGTGATCTATGTACATTCAATGATTCTGTTGTTAGTGACAGTATGTTGGATTCATATATATTCTTTTCACATACATTCCATTTTATGAGTTATCCTTTTTTTATGATCTCCTTTTTTATATTTTACTTTTCTTACATGCTCCCAATATGTGCACCCAGCATACTATAGCATAGGGTCACATACTGGCGGAATCTCAAGGGAGTCCGTATGCTGTCCCAAATGTTTATATCAATTAAGTTTGTTTGCGTTCCACAATGGAACGCACGCGCGCGGTCAACGGATGGTATGTCATCACGTTGGTGTAAGGCCGCGTGTGTGCAGACACAAAAACGGGACGCCACCCGACATATTAAAATGCCAAATTAAGAAGACACAAGCAAGCTCCTGATGATGTCTGAATTTAGAAAAGACGAAACGCGTTGAGCAGATCCTTACCCAGAAAGGTGAACTAAGCGTCTGGTGGTGAATACTTCAGTCCATTTCCATCCATCTGCATTTCTACAAAGACAATCACTACGGACTGCTAGCACCAGCTTTTTAGCACACATTGAATGCCTTTCAATTGTGCCACATCGTTTTTAAGTGTTTTGAACCTACTTGTTTTACCACTTTTTATTAAAGGTTACACTATGATGTTCTCTGTTTTATCTCCTTTTATGTGAATATTCCATGCCCATCTATTGGAGGGTAAATATACTCACTATTAATTCTTGTGATAAGTGGTGCCCTATTTCTGAATTCTATATACAGTTTCTTTTTGCACATTTGGTTTTTAAAGGGACACAGGGAGTGCTTTCCCATATATAGTGGCTTGCCCGCACAACTTTAATACTCAGCTTTCTCACAATCCATACCTGGTTTTAAATAATGCAATCTGACAAACTTTGCAGTAAGTTTATAAAATGTTAACTACATACTTTTCAAAGTTTTTCTTGCCTTATTTTGGTTTGTATATTTGTTTAAGAGTGTTTGCTTGCTGGTTTAAAAAAAATAGTCAATCGATGCATGTCCAGTTGTGGCTGACATAACTGGCTACCATACATGATAACAAGTCAGTGGTTGAAAAAGCCAATACGGTACACATGCCAAAAATATATTTTGTTGTTTTATAAATTGTAAATTCCATATGCAGTGGCATTCAGGTATTGGTTTTAAGAAAGGACATTACAGATATGGATAAAGGGTGCAGTACAAACCATTATCTGGAAATCTATTCATAAACAGGGCTATACACAAGGTCACACATTTAGACTGGAAGAAAGAAGATTTAATCTAAGGCAAAGACAAGTTTTATTTACAGTAAGAGCTATAAAGATATGGAATTCTCTGCCTGAAGAGGTGGTTTTATCAGAGTCCATACAGATGTTTAAACTGCAATTGGATAAATACATCCAAAAACATAACATACAGGGATATAAATTGATATGAGTGGGGTAATAGCTGCTTGATCCAAGGAGACATCTGACTGCTATTTTGGGGTCAATAAGGAATTTTTTCCTAGTTTGTTGGAAGCGCTTCAGACTGTGTTTTTTGCCTTCATTTGGATCAACAGCAAAAACATATGTGAGGACGGCTGAACTTGATGGACGCAAGTCTCTTTTCAGCTATGTAACTATGTAACTATGGATAGAATATTCAAAAGGAGGGTGAAAGAGTTTAGTAATGAAGAACACCTGGAAACAAGCTGGAATGTAGTACTTCTACATGCCATAGGATAGCAACCAGAGTGCAAAGAATGGCATAGTAAAACTGAAAGTGCACATCCTTACCCTTTACTCATTATTCATACTCATAGTATACAATTTAGACTTCAAAACTAAGAACCAAAACAGCAATATAGTATATAAAACGATTTTCAAGAATATCTATCTATCTATATATATCTATATATATATTATTTTATAGAAAAGTTTAAAAAATGAATGTATCCATGCTGTGTAGAATCATTGTTGATGTTTTGCAAACAGTCATCTAGATTTAAAAAAATAATAATATAGAAGCAGTAACGATATTTACAAATTATATGTAGACATCTTTCGAATGCAGAATCCAAAGATACTCAAGCATTTTTCCCATGTACCATATATCAAGTAGCATTGCTGTCTGCTATTGCAGGTGATGGATATGACCTAACATCTTCATAGAGCCCTACCCACGACGCTATATAGGATCCAGTGAATTGTGTCAGTTCCTGCAGAGCAGTGGTTCCCAACCCAATCCTCAAGTACCCCTTACCAGTTCAGGATTTAGGGATTAACAAGTTGTGTGTAAGGTGTTTTTAGAAAAAGAAAAAAAAGAAAAAAAACATTTTAGACACAACAGGATAATCCCTAAATCCTTAACTGTTAGAGGGTACTTGAGGATTGTGTTGGGAACCCCTGCTCTAGAGTAAGGGAGGGGAAAGTGGGTTTTGTCATTTAGAGTATCTCTGCATAAGGCAGAGGGTTGAACTTGAATTTGTTTTTCTATGGTGTGCTTTTCAGCACTGGAGGGTGGGTGAATGTAACTGGGATTTATTATAACACATTTTATGGCCAAATAATATAGAAAATGAACAACATTTAAATTCTGTTTATTAGTAAAAAAGTAAGGAATCATCATGTTCTATAGTTAAAGGGGATCTGCCACTTCTCTAGAATTTATACAATTTAATAAAACATTGAACAGTCTTTTTTCATGAAAAGCTTTATTTTATTTTAAATTTACATTACAGATTTACCAAATAACATCATAATCCAGTTCAGAAGAGGCAAAGCCGGGCCTAGCATTGCAAATTGTGTGGGAAATAAAAAAACATTGTTTAATTTTTTTCTCTATTTGCTGTAATCTATTTCTATGCTGACCTTTAGGTGAAAAGTACATAACAATTACATTTAATTTTATTTTTCACACTTTGCAAATAAAAAAATGTTAAATTTAGGGATCAGTAAGCATATCAATAAAAATTGTGGAAGTTACAGTCCCCCTTTAAATGGATTTAAAGATATACTTTTGACTGTTTGACGGTTGTATGGTTTATACAGAGATATGAAGTTACAGAATAAAAAGGACAGCGCATGTAGAATTGTCTGAAGGAGATGTACTGTAGGCAATCAAGTTATTTTTTATGCTTATATTTTGCCATTGGACTATGAATGGAAATAATTTGAAACCTTGGCAGATGCCAAAGCTTCACTTCTGAGGATGTTACTACTTATCAGTGCCTGAAAAAAAACTCCGATAAATAAATAAAACTGTTGGCCTCTTTAACAACTTAGATACTGCTTACTAATTCTTCCAGTGATTTGCCTTCCTGTTTTCTACATCATTCTAAAGCAGCTGAATTCTATTTCGAGGCAGAATTAGCAAAATAACAATGGTAAATTCAACTTCCTATCTAGACGCTATTATCACAATTAGGACAAATTTGGAGCTTAATGTTTATTGGTTAAAAAAGAAATGTCAAATTACAATGTACTTCTAAGTTAGGACATGGAATTAAAAAAAAATGTTAATCAATTGTATTATTAATATTACTGAACAGGACTTTCTATCATTATGATACAACATTATTGTATTCTTAGACATTATTTTTTTTCCATTTCTATCTATAGTAGCTTAATATGTTCACAATATATTTTTGAGCAGTGACCATTCTGGCCTTGTTCCAATTCTCAGAATCTAAATTGGTGTATTACAGTAATAGAGTAAAACCAACCAGGTATCTGTTCTGTAAACATATACTTTAATCTCTACATTTTAGTTTCTATAATTAAATAGTTACCATACATTCTTTTTAATATTTTTGCATTCCATGTCAAAACCCAGAGCGGTGTCTCAGTGTGATCTGGAATTCTTCTTTTCTTTCTGCGTGAATTTTCTCATCTTTTGTTGCAAATGTTGAGATTTTAATGGAAAGTTTGCACCAAACTTTTGTAGAAGAATTTTTAGCACATGATTTCTAGAGAGGAAATGGCATATCTGATTTTCAGCCTGCTTCATTGAATTAACCCTTCTTTTCTAGGCTTGAGAGACATCAGATTCTGAGGGCAAACAATATCTCTGTACTCACTTTCTTTTTATTAGTTTTCTTGTGCATTAATCTATGAGAATAAACAAAAATAAAAAATCGACGCGCCCACTATAATAAGAAGGGGGCAGCAGTAAATCATGCAAGAATTCCAAACATCTTAAAATAGCTTAAAAAAGATATATTGATAAACGGCACCAGAATGAAAACACATTATAATTATAAGTGCAAATATAAATACATATGGTTGATAAGAATCTTCATATATTATTATTGGTATTTATATATTGCCAACTTATTCCACAGCACTTTACAATATTATAAAATTGGAAAATGTATCAATAAATGAGACAATTACAAAATGTAACCAGGAAAAATAGGTTGATGAGAAGCCTGCTCAAATGAAGAGGTGAGTCTAGAGGATGTGATGTATAGGAGACAATAGGAAGGGCATCAAGGGGGATAGCAAACAAATAAGGTGGGAAAGTAGTAGAATGAGAGTGGAGTATGGTCCTGACCTTTATGAGAGAACTATAGATTTGTAAAGTAGGAGTAATCTGGGAGGCATGGGCTTCCAAATAAATTTTTCAGGGGCGGTGGGAGGGTATTATTGAAATAACATCCATGCTCTGCCCCTCTTTAAAAATGTCATGAAGGGGAAGAGCATATTAATTATCACATAAAGTGCAGGCATGTAAAGGGTTAAGAAACCCGATGCAAAAGTTTAATAGAAGAATCAGGTTGCCATTTTCTGATTTAAAACACACACCGACACACATACAGACACAGGTACAAACACAGAGATACATACAGATACAGACACACATACAGATACACAGTTACAAACATTGCCACACATGCAGATGCACAGACACACAGATAAAAACACTGTCACACGTGAACAAACAGTGACAAACATCTAGATATACAGATACACACACTGATGCACGCGCAGATGCACAGACATACAGATACAAACACTGTCACACATGCAGATACACACTAACACACAGATACATACACACATACACATTGACACATGTACACACAGATACATACAAACACACTGACACACAGATACTAGGTGTGAGAGGAGCATCAGGAGAGACAGATCAGCCAGGCTGCAGCAATCATTACAGATCAGCGCTCCACTTAAAGATATAAACAAATAAAAAGAAACATAAGGTAGTATGTAGGTACAACTAAAATGATTTTTGTAGTATACCGAAAACACACACTTTTTTAAAGCTAGTGAAAGCTCTATTAGTAACAGCATAGAAGGTACAATACCTTTGTTTTCATTTTGGTTTATCAATATGTCCTTTTTGTGCTATTACCAGTGAGAGCTGTAGTCTGATGTAACCTCCTTTAAATAGGTGTTATGCTTTATTAAGTGCAATTACGAATATATAATATCAAAAGAGGAAGTGCCTCTAGTGACCGTCTGTTTGATAGTAAACATTGCTCTTTCTCAAAGAAAAACTGTTTTACTGAGAAAAGGGTCAGTGAATATGCACCAAAAATAACACATTAAATTTGGTTTTGTTTAGTTGGTACACTGGTATTTTGGTGAAGTGTCACTTTAGTTTAAGTCAATCTTTCATCCTTTGAGCTTTTGTAATTAATGAAACAACAAGAACAGACAAACCACGGTTCTGTCTAAGCCCCCACCTGTGCCCATTGTGTACCATGTTAAAAAAATACCCACTGTAGTTTACCAATAACCCCTGACAAGTGTGATGGGGGGATAATTAGAGAGAAAGGGGAAGTAAATCTGCCTTTGACCCCTTCCTTCCCCTTATTCTTTGCTGGCAATACCCCCACAAGGCCAGGAACCTTCCAGCACAATACCACCTTCATTACAATTAAGTTATTCTGGTGCCCCCGTGTTCCTTAAGGGGTTCAACACCCCATAAGGGCCAGAGACTTCCTTTAAATTAAGTTATTGAAGTACTCCTTTAAGATCCCACTTAAAGGACCACTATAGTGCCAGGAAAACATACTCGTTTTCCTGGCACTATAGTGCCCTGAGGGTGCCCCCACCCTCAGGGTCCCCCTCCCGCCCGGCTCTGGAAGGGGGAAAGGGGTAAAAACTTACCTTTTTCCAGCGCTGGGCGGAGAGCTCTCCTCCTCCTCTCCGCCTCCGTTACGCCCCGCCGGCTGAATGCGCACGCGCGGCAAGAGCTGCGCGCGCATTCAGCCGGTCTCATAGGAAAGCATTTACAATGCTTTCCTATGGACGCTGGCGTGCTCTCACTGTGAAAATCACAGTGAGAAGCACGCAAGCGCCTCTAGTGGCTGTCAATGAGACAGCCACTAGAGGATTAGGGGGAAGGCTTAACCCATTCATAATTATAGCAGTTTCTCTGAAACTGCTATAATTATGAAAAAATGGGTTAACCCTAGAAGGACCTGGCACCCAGACCACTTCATTAAGCTGAAGTGGTCTGGGTGCCTAGAGTGGTCCTTTAAGGGTTCTTCTCACAAAAACACCCAAAACCAATAATACAAAAATATACAATTTAAGCACTAAAACATTTAAAGCAGTAATATATATATATATATATATATATATATAAAAGAAACCAAGAGGGCTGCACTCACCTGAACATGCATACATTATAGGGTGCTGCTGGGGCCAAAATATACAAAATACAGAATCCAGCGCACTCGCTTATTCAATAAACAATGATTTCAAATCTTAGAGATTGTAATAGTTTTATTTAAAAACACCTCACCTAGGCAAAAAATGATGGGGGTTTAGCTACATTATATGATCATACATTGCATAAGTCTGCCTCATAAGATGAAGCATTAGGCTGCTACTAGGATAGGACCTGTCGAATATGGGGTACTTTGACGTAGTTGGCAGGCTTATGCAATGTATGATCATAAAATGTAACTAAACCCCCATCATTTTTTGCCTAGTTGAGGTGTTTTTAGAATAAAACTATTACAATCTCTAAGATTTGAAATCATTGTTTAGTGAATAAGCGAGTGCGCTGGATTCTGTATATATATATATATATATATATATATATATATATATATATATATAGCATTTTGTGGATTTTTGGTGTTAAAACACAGTTTTTGTCGTCTTGAACATAGTATTCTAAAACAGTAGCAGATATAGCAGTTGGATAAAGGTAGTGTTAAGGAATGTGATTAGTCCTTTCAGGGTTTCAGAAAGATTGGTTGGTAATGCACTCTTCTCTTCTTTGCCAATGAAGATTCAGTAACAAGATCATGTAAATGGCAAATGAATAAAAAACAATGAAATAATTATTTCATTTAATGAATTGTTCATTTAAATATGTAAGGATTGGAAAAGTGAACCGGTATAGTAGCGCATTTAGTTACTTTTGGAAAAGGGTGCCAATGTTTCTTTTTTTTTTAAAGCAGATGGAATTAGGGAATAACAGAATTATTCAATAAAGTGAGAATTGATGGGAATTCAAAGAGAATTTAAAGTAAATTTCAAAACTGAAGTCAAAATAGCTTAATTTTCAAAAATCTAAGAATCGTAAGTCTTCTTTTCATTTAGCTATTTTCTACTTAAATACAAAATTCACTTTTAATTCAATCTGAATTCTCACTTTAGTAAATATCCCTGTAAATTAATAACTCCTGTAGACCATAGGGGGATTTATCAATATGTTACAGATCGTTTTGATAGGGTCTTTTTTTGCTTGTTTGTTTTTTTGGTGTTTTGCGGTCTCTTGCATTTTTTGTTTTTTATTTGCAAAATGTACAAAGGTTTTTTTCGGCAACACAATGGATTGTGTCCATCTTGTCCTAACTTATTCTGCCACAAATGTGATTCACTTCAGTTTTTTTCACCACTATAAATTTGGCAGTATTTTCTATAAAAGTGTCTATTGTTTTTTTTTAAAATAAATGATTACATATGAACAGATTACAGAACAAAAATAAAAGACACTTCTCAGAACACTTTGTTAAACCGTTCCCTATGTGTTATAAAACCTGGTTCATTCTGGTGCTATTTTGTGCATTAGCCCTATTTAATTTTCCTGTAGTTGGATTACTGTAGTTGGTCAACTCGTCAACGAGAGACAGAAAAAGCACAAATCGATATTAATAGTACATGATAACAAGGAAGAAAAACACAGATAGAATATACCAGTGCAATTGAGATGACAATGAAGAACATTCTGCATGTTGCCAACTTTCACCAGATGGTTGTTGATCCTCAGCATAAATATTCGCTGCTAAATCTGCTTGTTCTTGACATTGTTTCTCAAACTCAACGCAGTTCTTTGGTTGTCATTGTTTTTCTGTAAGTGTACTCTCAACTCACTTATGCACTATAGCTATTTATCATAATATTGTGACTCACTTCCTTTAATTTTCTGCTCCAGCTGACAATACGAGCTTACAAGTATAAATTAGCCTTGATGGCAGTCATGGCAGGATGAACCTGTAGAATAGCGTCAGGATG